GCAAATAAATTGCTGTTATTTCAACCTTCTTAAGAGAAAAAAAATTGCATTTTTTTTTCAAAATAGACAGTTTCAACATCACCTTGGTGATAACAACAACACTGCTGCATATACTATTCTACTTATCAATGTTTCATTTAATGATAAAGAAGAAATCAAAGAAACTCTTAAATTACAATCATTTAGTGATTATCAAGGTTTTGAAGCATTAAAGGAAAAGCTGGAACAAGTTATTGGAATTGCTCAAAAGGCTAAGGTTGACATTAAAAAGGACTTAAGTGTGGATGTATTGTCCAAACCAAACTAGATCAATATTCTGAAATTATCAAATTAGGGTCAAGACATTGCTGTTAGGGATGACCAAACACATAAACTAAAAACACCTTCATTTTAAAAAATGGTTTTATACAAGGCTGGTTTTTTAGGTCTTGAGAAGTTCTCCTGAATTAAAAAATTCTACATAAATATATCTTTATTAAATTGGATTTAAGATATTTGCAATAAGCTATCTTGTGCATGCATGCATTGATAATAGTGAAGTATCTATTTATTTGGAGTGGTCGAGTTTAATTTATAATAGCTAACTCAAGGATGAGTTTTTTGGAAGTAGAGGGGATTGATGTGGGGCACTTTCTTTATTATTCCTGGCATAATAATGTCTAAAATATTATTTCCTTAATTGTTAAAGAGTTTTAGAAGAGTCCAAGATGCAATTTGGTAAAAAATTAGTTTAACTTTTAATCTGATATTTTGATCCATTTAAAATTGTGATAAAAGATTTTGAAGACCCTATTTTCTATATGGTTAAAATTTCATGATGATAGAAGATTGGGAAGACCCTAAAATAAAGGACAAAAGTTATTATGGAGGATTATCTTTATATACCTTGTTGTATTTGGATTCTTTTTTTCAATTTAATTAGGATTTTACTAGTTAGGAATCCTAATACTAGAAGAATTCTATTAGTTAGGTAAGTTTTAATTAGAGATTCTTTTCCCAATAAGGATTGTAGATTTAAAACTAATATAAATAGAAATATCTAGTTTATTTTGAGAGCATTTAGATTTAGATTATTATCCAGAATTTTTATAAAATATCAAAGATTTTCTCTATTCCTCTACAGTGTTTAGGCTTATAAACTTCAGAATCCTAGTTTTGTCCACACTATTCACTGCATCATATACCCTACCTAGCAGTTTAATTACCTTTGATTTCCATTTTAGCTGCACCATATTAACTTTTTCAGCTTTCTGCACATATTTTAAGATAAATATGGATTTATGTATTGAAAAAAAAAGAATGATCAGTCATATCTCAGGCTACTGATCCAGTACAGATTATCATGGACTTCAACGCAAATTCTTACTTTGATTGCAGAGAACATTGGTGGAACTTGCCATATCTCCCCACGAAATGATGCAGCAGCTTTCTTAATGTCAGCATCTTTAATGTGCTCCCAAGGCTCACGTTGAATAACCTGCATAAGACGATAGTTTAAAGATTCACACAATGCACAAACATAAATCGGAAATTGACCAATCACAATCAAATGTTTTTAAAAAACTATGAAACTGATCACCACCACACCAAATGATGTCAATGAAGCAAGAATCTAGAAAAGTTCAACTGAAATTATCCAATATAGTGACCATGGAAATTATTGGCATGTCTGCTGGAACTGGAAGATAAAAATGTAATGTCTTCTAATGTTTATCATGACTTCAACTTCTTCATGAATATATGCACATGTATAATTTATATCTGCAAAATAACCATTCCTATTAGGTACTAATCCATGTTGAACATGTTTTGAGTGCCCAGCCAGTGCCACAGTTAATGTGAACCCATTTTCCTCCATCAGACCCCTCCCCAATTTCTTTCACTAACTGGTTAGCAAATCATTGAACAACCATCTCCAAGAATCTACTATACATTTCACAATTGATGTTGAATGAAAAGTGAAACAGAAGGAGTGAACTAGCTGGTTAGCAAATCATTGAAACAACCATCTCCAAGAATCTACTGTACATTTCACAATTGATGTTGAATGAAAAGTATAAAGGTGGATTAGGAATGTTCTTTTTTCCTGAAAGGAGAAGACAAGATGACAAAATGCAAAAAATGCCTTAATTTTCAGGGCCTCATAAAAAGAACATGCATATTACTACTGGCATTAGACAGGAAAATAAAAGCACAAGCTGCCTTTGAAAGTACATACTGGTGAATCAGCATCCCAAGTTGAAGTAGCCTCCCCTAAACGGAATACTCCACTATAACCCTTAACCATACCTTGATATCTGCATTAAAAAAAAGGCCTTGAGGGGAAATCCATGTTCAAAAAAGAAAAAAATGTCGCAGTTTGAGTCTCTGAGTGAAAAGAGGGAACTGTGCATAAAACCTACATAGAAAAGTATTTATAATGCTTAATGAAGTGATTCTATTTCAATCTTACCTATCTACCAACTTTGTGGCTTTACCAACACACACAATCAACAAACCAGTTGCCATAGGATCAAGTGTCCCAGCATGCCCCACCTTCAATCCAAAATGAAAATAATTAGAGAAATCTGTGACTAAATGCAGATGCAATGGTATCAAAAAGTTGCACCTTCTTCACTTTGACCAGGCGACGCAGCTTTCCACAAACTGTAAATGAAGTCCATCCTGTTTTACAATAAGGACATGACTTTTGTTTAATAAAAATAAAGCTTATGTGATTCACAATTTGACATTATAGGTTTAAGTGTTAAATTAGAGAAAAAATTAACCACAGTCGGACAGGCATGTGGGGATAATCGAGAAATTTAATGAAAGAATGCAGTCAATTCTCAAACAAATAACCAAGGGACAAAATAAGGATTTCTGGGTTGTGCGGGCCATAGCATGCTACATAATGGTATACCCATTTGCAACACATTATAAAACAAGTACCAGATGAGGTTTCTCAAATTAACAGTCCACCTTTTCTTGTGCAAAAAAGGATCAACACTGTTTTTTCTTATGGGAAATAGATAGATGCCATATGTTTTCAATATGCCACCTTTCTGTTTAGAGAAAAAAATACTTTTACATTTCCATTCTTGCTGCATAGGAACTTGCTTAAGAACCTAGGAGGTTAGCTGCGAAAATGACATACTGTCAAAGCCTGGTATAACCAACTTCAGATCAGCAGACAAATCATTTTCTTTTTACCTGAATGTTAGGTACATGGATTCTAATATATCGAAGAACATAGTTTTTCTCTTTTTTGTTCTAATTATTGGCAAATATGTGAAGTATCAGCAAAGGTGAAATGCAGAACCTCTCTCTTTTACCTACATCTTCAGCCTCAAGCCAACCCCAAATAGTTTGTAGTTGTTTAGTTTATGACTGGTCCTCATAGCATAGAAATAATGGTGCTACTAAGATTCTCCGGGAGTGAATACCAATCTAACTCTATCCTTGTTCACGTTCTTCTAACATGATATTAAAACAAAAATGCAACTTCCCCTTTGAACTAAATCCTTTTGTTCAATTAGTGTTCTGATATAGGGAAGGAATGGCCATCATGGCAGCAGTGAACAAATTCATTTGCAATCGTTTAGTTTTCCACAATTGTGCGCTGAAACCGATGTTTCATTCTTTACTAGTGTACTTTCCTAAATTCCAAAATGTTAATTCAAACCTTCCTCAATTTATATATATAAAAAAATCATAACCATGAAACCAAATAACAAAAATAAGCTATCAACTCACCTTTAGGCTTATTCACCAAAACCACAGTCCCATAAGGACCATCCCACCTTGGTGGAAGAGCATTCCTTGTAGAAAGATAAGGATCTCCAGTATCCACTTCACTATCCTTATTGGGAACTTTTTTCAAACACTTAAAGAATTCCCCGACTTTCCTCTCGGTAACATCCTTCTTATCATTCAAATCAGTCCCTCTCTCACCCTTCTCCTCTTCGTAAAAAAAAACCAACCTTTTATCATCCTCTCCCTCTCCAACCCCACTTTGATCTCTCTCTTTCTCTCCTCTTTTAACCCCACTCTTGGTCTTCTTTGTTTTCCCACTTTGATTTACATTATTTGAGTCTTTAGGATCAAGAAATGCCTTATCAAGGCAATGGTCAGGGAAATACTTTTTCTCCAATTGATAAACCATCTTATAATGCTTATCTTTCTCCCACGGATAAGCAAAAGCATCATAAAAATATAACTCCTCCTCTCTCTTATGTAACCTATGAAATTCTACAACTTCGGGCTTCAACTCTACAAAACCCTCTTCATTTTTCTTATTTTCCTCATCAGAATCTGACCCATACATTCTTTTTCTCCTCTTTCTATAATACTTTCTTTTAGACTTATCCATCTCATCTTGAGACAGTTTTTGATCAACCCATGAATCAAGACCAAGTTCTGCATCTGGGTTTTGAGTTGAGTCGGAGTCTGAGTCTGGTCTAGTGACTCGAGCAGGTTGTGGCCGAGATTGGGGGCGTTGGGGCAGAACTGGGCGGTTAATGATCATCTCATATTGAAGAGGGTATCTAGTAGAAGTGGTGGAGAAGAGATTTTGATATAGTGAGAAGATAGGTTTGTTTAAGAGAGTGGGTCTTTTTGAGGGAAAGAGAGAAGGACAGAATGTTGCTTTCGTTGTTGTTGAAAAGGCCATTGGTTTTGGAAGGAAGCAGAGCAGAGAAATTGATTTAGCCATTGATGATTAGATCAGTTTCTTCTTCTTGTCGCCGTCGCTGCTGTTCGTTTCGGTGGTGTTTGGGGTTTTAGCATGGTTTTAGGATTTCGCGGTTGCTTCTTAGATGTGTTTCTGCGGTTAAAAAATGTTCTTGTATAAATTTGATATTTAAAAAAAATAAATTATATTCTTTATATTTTTGAATTATTTTTATCTGTTAATTTGAAAAATAAATTTTAAAAAATAAAAATATATAATATTTATTTTGAACAGGCTTTTAATTAAAGGGCTTAAAATCTTTTTTAGGAACTTAAATGAGAATTAATATATAGTTGGTGGACTTGTTCGAGGTTTGCCGAAATCCTAATAACAAGTTAAAATTTTCCTCTCCGCGCTCAATTTCCTCTCTCTTGCAATTGCATCCTCCTTGAATCCCACGGACCCTTCCGTTTTGCAAAATTTTGGTTGGAGCCCAGAATTCGCGCTCCAACAAAATGGACTTGGCTTGTGCCCCACAAGATGGCGAAGAGTGGGAGCTCCGCCACGACGACGACGGCTTCACCTACAAAATCCTCAAGCGCCAGCGCCTCACCGACCCATCTGCCGCTGTTTCACAACTTCCATTCACAGATCCAAAACTTGAAGCGAAGCAAAGGAGAGAACGCAAAAGAAACACACTCTTGAAACTTAAAAATCAGTACCAAAATGAGATCCACAAGTGGGAAGTTTTATCGAATACCTTGCGTTCAATGGAAGAAAAGACCAAAGAAGTGAAGCAAGCTGCCTCGTATTTGGGTTCCAGTAATTCTTCTGTGGTCAAAAAGAGCGAGGATTCTTCTGGGTCGTTAGTTGATGAGCTTCTCTTGCAGGTAAAAGAAATGTGTTGTTCTGGTTTTAGGGTTTTATCTTTCTTTCGTTCTTTACCCTGTTTGGTTTGTGAATTTTTCAGGCAGAGACACAAGAGGTAATAATCCGTGACATATCGAATTTATGCGATGTAGCTGAAGCAATGTGTGATGCCCAGCAAGAACAGTTAGTTCAATCATTTATTGATCTGCCAGTCTGGTCTTCACCGCGTGAGCTCATGAAATCCCTCTGCGACGAGTAAGTCTTATCTTGGGGTGGTTAAATTAGTAGTCTTGTGAAGTTGATGCTCACGTAGTGAAATATTTTGTCTTGTAGATCTCTTTGTTCTTAATGTAAGTCTTGTTGGTGCTTTTCTAATGTTCTGTGATCATGTAAATTAGTAGAAATTGTGGCTTAGAGAAATTTCTGTGGGAGAACGGTTTTTAGCAAGTAAGTTGTGGTATATTCGAGTTAGTGAAATGTTTATTTGTTAACCGTGAGCACTGTTTTACTTTCCGGTGTAGAAAGATGTCAAAATTTCTTTCACTATGGTTGCAATGACTAGAGATGGTGAAAGAATGTGGCCGGATCTCATGCCTACGATTTTTCCATGCAGAATGAAAATTTCAGTGCAGTTTGGTTTCGAATTAATTGTGAGACACTCTTGATTTCCAAGTCTCTCATTTTATTAGTTCGTATGGATGAATTTTGGTTCTATGACTTGTTGGTGAACTTCAGTTCCGTGGTCTGTAGACATGTTGTGTTTTAATTTCAGGATTGCTTGTTCTTATCCCTGATTTTGCCATGATTTGATGATTATTTTGGAGAGAAATGGTTTAATATTAATTGATATGCCTGGAACTAGCCGGCAGCCTCTCTTTTACCCATGAAAGGCATTGCAGTTAAAGAGATGATGTACATTTGCAACTGTAGATCCTTTATTGCATTGTTGATACTTCTGGATCCAGAAACTCAAACACTTTTTCATGCAAGATCATGTTTCTGAAAATTACTTGCATTGAACATTGGATGTGCATTTACTTTACTATTTTTCTTCTGAAATGATTTATATCCGACTACGTGAAGCTAGTCGGTGATTGGTACTCAATTTATGAGCTTCAGATTACTTTAGCCTTTAGACCGCAAGCATGTATCACACATAATCTTCTAATTCTGAGCCTGCATATTACAACAGCAAAACTTGATGACAGTTTTATTTCAGTCCCCCTTGGAGAATTGTATGGTGGATCAAAGTATGCATCTTTTTTCTTGTCGGAATCTCCTCACACAATGCTTTCTTGCTCATTTGGATCACAATGGGAAAATGCTAGTGGAGTAGGTAAATGTCTCACAAGAGACCACCAGAAACCAAAATTGATCGTATAGTTACCATGAATCATGCGCAGCTGGGGCATAGAGATAAATGATTCGCAGGTTGTGGTTGGCAAGGGCTTTCTGATCGGGGGATGGAACAATCCATGGCTGTTCCCTCCTGCAGTAAGACAAGTGATCAGAATAGTTCCCATCTAACTAAGAATTCACCCAGGTTTAGATTGAGAGCTGCATCCCATGGATCTGAATACCTTCCCATTGCGTTCAATTTGTTTTTAGTAACACTAAACAAACTTGGCTCCAAGTATATAAAATAGAGGGCTTTTTTCCAACTTAAATCTATGATTCTGAAGAAAACGTGATCCCATTATGGTAAGCTACAAGCCATCACCGGATTCAGAAATTACTGAGCTCTATAGCATAACGGTGATTCTTCATCTCTTCTTCTCCCCCTTTTCTCCATCTTGCATGCAACTTGTCATCACTCCATAGAAAACAGAGAAATTAAGCATGAAACTGAACTGTACATTCAGAGCATTAACGTAATGGTAACTGCAACACAATCATTGGAAGAGGAAGAGGAAAAAAGACAAGGCACCAGTGATAGGCATGCATTCCAAAAGCCTTAATGCGTCAATAACAAATCTTTCACAAGAGAGGACTTGCACCTCATTGACCGCTAGCCATCTCTGTCAAACTAGAGCAAGCAGAATTCAGTATTGTAGATAAAGCTGTCTTCCATGTCAGAATCCCACGGCGAACACGAAGTTTGATGATCAACTGCAAGAAGATGTGATTTTGGCATAGAAGTCCAAGCAACATTGGGCAAGTAACTTTGTGATTTTGGCATGGAAGTCCAAGCAACATTGGGCAAGTAACTTGGATCAAAACCTTCTATAGGGTCAGAGGACGAGTTCGTATTTTTAAGTTCCATAAAAGCATGCCGAGGGCAAGTTTTCAAGAGCAAAACGACATGGCAGAAGAGTAACAGGGGGCTAATAGATAAAATCAACAAAGATCCTCTGTATGACCTTCAAACTCGGATTTTTCTTGGTTTGTTAGGCTTCAACTTGACCATTAAAAGCAATTTTGATGATTTATTAAAGCAATCAAGTTTCAGTTGCTGTGTTGGTTTTTGACAAATCCCAAGATTATTATTTCAACGGATCAAGTAATTTGATTGATCTGATATGTTCTCCGCATGGACAAATTACATGTAAGAATTACTTCGGAGTCCGCGAAGAGATCAAGCGGGGCTGATGAATCCAGGATGCGATTTGTCGGGCACCCAATTACTTCATTTCATGTAGTCCATTACAGAGCTCAGTCCTCATAATATGGGGGCCAGAATCCGTGCTGTGTTAAATTAAATTGTCGGTAAAATGCTAATATTTCAAACGGATAAAAATTGTGTAAAACTCTTTCGACCCACTGTGCTGCAGAAAGTTCTGTTTGCATTTCAAATTGCAACAAGTTGTTCAATGAACTATAGATAATATCTGCCCAAAATAGAATTCTTTTTTTTTTTTAATTCATCTTAATGAGAGCAAAGAACAATATCGCCAAGACTGCTGGTGAAGACTGAAATTTCTTAGCCTAACAGGGTTTTGAGATCATCTTCATTCAGATATGAAGGAACAACTTTCAGAGGTTGAATAACAAAGCCAGCTTCCTTACAAGCATCCTCCAGAAGTTTTACTTGTGGAGGCCCATCAGGGCAGAATACAACCACAGCTCCTCCACTACCTGTAAATTTTGAAGCAGCACCCACCCTTCGGGCCACCTCCACCATTTCAATGTTTAAAGAACCAAGAGCATCATCTCCAAACATGCTCCTATAAAAAATTTCCGTATCAGCTAGGTTAGTATGGCTATAAAATGCCTGAATCATCTTAAAAAAAACAGAGAAACCATTTGTTCTGGAAAGTAAAAGGTAACAGCAAGAGCATTTAAAAATTATTGAAACAAAGATATCAATTCCTTTCGTTGTTTCTTACTATTATTGAAACAAAGTTAATATTACACATGACCAAGATAAGGAACTCCATTGCAACCACTTTAGCACAAAGAAAAATAATGCATGTGCTAAGACATGAAAAGAGCAGAAATAACAGGATTTGTTTGCGTCTAACGATGTAAGGATTAACAATTTTAACAACGAAAATCTTCCAAAGAGAAATCATCACCAAAACCCAATTAATTTAAATCTGTCCATTCAGAGTCATGGTCCACAAGGTCGTGAATCATTAGCAACCCTCATCAAACTTTTAGTATTAAATAATTTTAGTGATTGGAAAATAACAGCCAGGCACACACATGATGACATCGATGGTCGTCATGGTGTGAAACACCATTATCAGCATTAAGAAAATGGTAATGGACTCTTCCTTTTCCAATAAAACGATGGTTGGCCTAAACCAATGATGCTCATAAGAAGAGCACTTTTGTTCCCAGAACATTTTTTCATTTTCAAAGTGTACGACAAACATGCAAATATTGTAACGTGAATGCTTTAATGGTATTGAAACACAAAATCCCTAAAGAGCTAATTTCTCTTCAAATCTGATCTAGACCGATTAGAAGCAGAAATATATTACCTTCGAAGGTCAAAATTGCGATTCATCAGGTCTGCAAGTTTGGAATAATCTTTTTCAAGTATTGCAGTTTGTCCTTGTAAAGCTAGATCTGCAACTTCCGCCATTGATGATACAATAAACTCATCACCCTCAAGCCACCTTTTCCGAACTGTGCTATGTACCTGCACTTAAAACAGACACAAGTTATTACCAAGTTCAAAAGAAAAAAAATCATTGAATGAAATATCAATGCCATGCCATTAAATGAATATTATACAAAATCACTCTCTTGCATAGAAGCTAGCTCCTGACACAAGCTTATAGTGCGTGGCATTTAAAAATGTCAGAAAGATATCTATATATAACCAGAACTTTAACAAACAAAGGAGTCGCTACCAAACGAGAGAAAAACAGAGGCATTGCTATTTTACACACAAGCAGGCACACACAGCTGTTTGAAATTGCTGGGGCCTACAACACTATTCATGAGCACCTCGTTGCACTTTCAAGACATGCTGTCCTTTCTATAGAAGAAAAACTATATCTGGGCACAAAACCAGAATCATTCATGGCCACATCAGCAGGAATGATAATTCCATGCAGCCACCAATTCATGTATATACCCTGTGAGGTAACGGAGAGAGTATCTAAGTCCAAAGTAAGAAAAAAGTCTTCAAAATAATGCTAACCTTCCCAGAATCACTTGGATTCTCAGCATAGATGAGCTGAAGAGGTGGGAGAAGACTGGTATCCATTGGTGTGTAGACACCATGGCCCAACTTTTCCATGTGATCTTTATTAAAATCCTGCAGAAGAGTATGTAACATGTGAATCATTATATTTTAACCATAATGTTTAACATGTTTGCATTAGCACCTACCATGTAAACAAGGCCCCCGTAGACCTGTGCCACTCGATCTTGAAGACCAGCAATAATTCCAAGTTCTTTCTCTGCACTTAGTATAAGATCAGGCCTGATTTCTACTTTGACCAAATGCCTGACTTTGTAGAAGTCAAGAAGGCAGTTTAAGGCTGCACAAACAATTGCACTAGAACCTGAAAGTCCTGTCTGAAACGTCAAAATTATAACTTAAGCCCTCTTTTGCAAAGAATTTAGAGGAAAAAAACAAAGAAAAATGAAGGAAATTGCCTTCAGAACTCCTCTACACGATCTGAGATGCATATATGACTGCACCCCTTTTCATTCGAAAGCTAAACAATGGCTTAAAACATAGATCTCAAGCACAGATCAAAGAATAAATAGGATGAAGAAAAGTGGATGCACCTGGCGAGGAATGTTAGTGTCATACGACAGAGTAAAGTTCTCCTTACTAAGCTCAATATTATTCTCATTGCAATAGTTGTAGAAAACCTTACAGATTGACATAAGCAATCTTACACCTCCATAGTAACCCTCACTTTGCAACCGATTCACCTAACAAATAAAACGACACATACACATAATTAAAAAGCAAGATAAAAATGCAACAATCATAGCACAAAAAGAGAAGAGAAGAGAAAGAAACCAGGTGATCAAGGCCTGAGAACTGGACAAGATCATGAGTAGGATGTGGGGTGATGACGAGATGATGAGAGGGCTGCAGTCTGACAGTGGCCCAGAAATTGGCAAGGCTGAAAGAGATGGTGCGGCCATAATAAACATCGCTGGGATTACCTAAGAGACCCGCACGTGCATACACTTTGTGTTCGATTTCGTTGCTTTTTCTTGATGATGGTGATTCCTCGGCCATCGCGTCTTTCTTTCTCTCTGTCTTCTGGCAGATCCACAGGGAGAGAGAGTTTTAATGTTTATCGAAGTGTTTCAGTTTCAGTTTGAGTTTTGTCCTGTTGCCGAGTTGTTTGTCTTGAAGTTTTCGTTCCTTTTAATGTTTAATTTAATTTATTTTATTGTTAGGATTAGGACGTGACTTCAGATCATGACTAGATGATGATGAGGAGGTTGGCGTGATTGATTTGGTTAGTCGGCCAGGCTGGCCCAGTCGAGGAAAAGGCACCGCTTGTCTCTCTATCCTGTGCCGTTTAAAACTTGTTTAGGATTGTTATTTTTAAAATAATTTTCTATATTAAAATATATATTAATAATATTTTTTATTTTGAAAAACTAATTACTGTATCAAAATAATTTTAAAATATATTAATTTAAAACAAATAAAAAATTTAATTTTTTTCAAAAACATAAATAAAACAGCCCTAAATCGGTAAATTTTTTATATTTTTAAATTATTTTAATAAATAATAATAAAAATAATTTTTAAAAAAATATTATTTTAATATATTTCCCAACAAAAAAAATGATTATCATAAAAAAAAAACATATAACATATCATCTAATTGCTTTAAGGTTATATTCAACATAAAGAATAAAATTGTTAGGAGATTACTTTCCTGAAATGTCATGCATTGCGAGAAAAATTAAATCAATTAAAGACATCCACAAATTCCTGCACCACAGGCAATAATTTAGTTACTGTACAATTCACCAGGAATGTACAAATGGAGTGTCAACAGAAAAGGAACATGCCACGATTTCAAACATGAAACAAGGAAACATTAGTCTTCCTCCTTTTCGCTGTCTTCGGGCAGCCCCATGTCATCTCCAACACCTTCAAGGAGTTTATCCACATCCTCCCCGAGCTCCATTAACCTTGCGCTCAGCTTTTCGACCCTGCTCTGTTCTTGCCCTAGGCACACTAGCAAATCATTCAGCTCCGCTTCGCTCTCCTTCTGGGCTTCTTCCCTGGCTTCTGCTCTTATCGCCTCAACATCTGGAGGTGTTGAGGCTCCCCCACTCTTCAAGGCTTTCACTTCCTTCTCTAGATGGAAATTGGCCTGTTCGAGACTGTTATAGGCATCGGATAGACTCTTCAGATCGGACTCCATCTTTCCAGCTAGATTCTGGTACATGGATGCCTCTGATTCTGTTTTGGCTTTCTCTGCCTTGAGCATCTCTATTCGTTGAGATGCTTCCTGAAGATCTCTCCGGAGTGTCTCTGCCTGGACTCTGTCTAAGCCCCCACTTGTCCTTTGTTCGAGTTGAGATGAGACACTCCCACCTGTCTTCGCCAAGTTCTCAGCCAGAGTTGCATTCCGACCAAGAAGATTCTAAAGAAACAAGAAAAATATAAACTGATAAATCAAAAACATTTCCCTGCAGCTCTAAAATTCTTTTTTTAAAAAAAAAAAGTAAATAAATAAATAACAGTTGCAACTGTTACGAATCTCCCTGCAACACACAATGAATGACATCACAGGTTACCAACACGTATTAGAATGGCTTGAAGCAATCAACAATGGCAACCATAGTACCATGACATTAATTCCCACGATAGTAACGTATAAGAGCAATAATTTAATTATGGGAACAGAGTGACGTTCTGGTCCACAGGTTCTGATCTAGATAATAGGGAAGGTCAACGAAACAAAAAGCCTAAAAGACTTTATGCGATAGCATACAAGAGGTCGGATAAGAATACTTGTATCAGTGGTGCAGTTTTCCATCCATCAAATTTCTTCCTAATCACATAGTTGTTCCCTTTCCCCGCTTTTGGGTACTTTTTTTGAAGTTATAGCTTCACCATTTGATGCTCAGTTTAATATGCAACATAACATCTGCCCAACAGGTAAAGCTGAGTACATCCAACATGCACATAATCTATCAAGTAAATTTTAAAAGGTCCAGGTCACTTCAAAGCCTCAAAGTTTTTTGGTGTCCATCATTGCATCCAGCTGAAGGATTAAGATAAGACTGCTGAGAACCCATGACAGGCTCCAACTTTATTTAAATGTAAGGAAAGATATAACTAAACAAGGTAGCTCATGGTTAGCCATTTCCTTTTGCCTTTCAGGAGAATAAGCTGTATCCAGAAATGATTGAATAGAAAAGGTCATCAGCTCTAAGACATAAAAGGTACCTGTATCTCAGAGCATTGCTTCTGCACAAATGATTTCAGCCGTTCTATGTAGTCTTTGTCACTTTCTCCTCTCTTTAGCTCCAATTCTGCAGGTACAACAGCCACCTCACTCTTTGGACGGCTATATACATCTACAATTGTTTCTCTGATATTTCCTTCCAAACTCTTGACAAAGTTGACAAAATGAGAATCAAATAGTGATGAAAGTATAGGATGATCCTCATTCTTATGGTCAGATGAATCCTGCTCGTCAACATCATCAATCTCTGCCATGCTAGCAGCAGCAGATCTCGTCAATGGTTTATGAAGCTTTGTTGGCTTAACAGAGGAGAAAAGGAAGCTCTTCATCATTTCATCAAACTTAAGAAAGTACGATGTGAGTCCAATCTTCTGACTTATGGCATCAACTACTGTAAAAGCATCCTTTCCACTCTCACCAGACTTGTTGTAAATAACACACTCCCCCAAGAGAACTGCTCCCAACCCCCTTATGCACATAGTTGCAGATGGATTTGACACCAACTCAAGCAAATATGTAAGATGGGGACGTGAAGCTAGGAAGCACTGAATTGCATTGGGGCAGTCAGCTAGCCAGGTCACCAGCAATTTCAGAATAATTGGTTGAACATACGAGTTCTCTTTTGTACTTGTTTTTCCATCTTTAGTTTTCATGTTGGAAGCAAGGGCCAAGTATTTAACCATGCGGTGCATTAGTGGCTCTGGAGCTCCTAGGGATGGCGTGGGCGACTCAAGCTCAATGCGCAGAACCTGCAAATGTTTTTCTTAAAATCAGATAATCTCGAAAAAGACAGGAGGTGAAGGGGGTTTACATTTCCCTTGAAGAAAACTACATGCGATGGGGGAAAAACCAAGTCCACTCTTGTTTCTCCCTTGTGCTGGTATATGGAAGAAAAACTGTAGTGGTACATGTGCACACTACACTTACCTAATTTATCCAAACCCATACTCGTTATCTCCCCGCATGGATTCTTGATCAATAGTATCCATAAATAATTTGGCTCAACATTCAATCAAAGGCAGTAAAAAGAACATTCAAAAAGCATACCCTACATTTCTGATGTATGTTGAAAGGGAAGCGGTTGCAATAGACAAAGTAGCTAAACTTGCAACGAGTTCATTCCCAGGTGCTTTTAAGCATCAATTTACCAACCCCTCACGAAAGGAATACATTACAGGGGACACTCGGAAAAAGAAATACAGCAGCAACCATATAAAATGCGACTCTTGCAACCATGAAAGCAACAACTTTCACAGGTTATATGTATCATTAAAGATGATGTTTGAATTTTCACTTCAAAAGAATAAAACATTTATCAGAATTCAAAACAGGAATGGAATGTGGAGAACAGGAACTCAATCCATGGGTCAGCTACAGGATAACATACTTTGAGATGCATTTGTATTATGATAATTTTAAAAGAAACAGTCTAAATCCATGGAAACAATGCCTATAATTCATTAAAGACAGATAAAATTACAAACGCATCCCCTCTAGCCATAACTGCACCCTTGATTTGTTTCAAAATCAACTCATTGAAAAGCCTCAGTTTACAACTGCTATGCCTCCAACAACACTTCTTGAATCCATCTCTAGTCACTCCATTACCACTTCTTAAATCCACTTCCAACCTCCAGTATATCCGGTCAAACCTTTCTGAATTGTCCATTCCATACCAAGACCTATTCTTAATCACCTTACAAAACTGCTCATTGAAAGCAATCAAATGCTAATTAGTACAAAAGAAGCACTTGCTATTCAAGTTGTTAGTGTTTAGCAGCATTCTCTGATAACCCATCAAAAAGATCAATAAAAAGAAAGAAAATGAAACCACTTGGTCTAGCTGAATCTCTCTTCTTAAGATGATTCAACTTTTAAAGCAGGAAATCTATTGTTCAATTTTCCCTCTCAGTTTTTTTCATTTTCTGAATAATTTCAGTAACAAAAGGTTTTTTTTTTTTCGTTGGGAAAAATTGTTATTAAATCCATTGTTTGGAGCCTTTTCTTTCTAATGATTGTATCTTGTGACAACACATCTTTCCTAGGAGAATTAAAAACTATGTAAAAGGGGAGTCAAATATGATCTCGACAACAAGAGTTTTAGTGGTTATGGTGTTTGAGACAAGTTTGAATTTTTGTGGCAAATGGAGAGGTATGAGATACCAAAGGTCTGAAATATGAAATGAGAGGCAGAACTGAGATTAAAATAAAATAAAAGAGATATAGTGGCAAGTTTGACTAACTTTGCATGGATGCAAGCTCCTAGCTGGTGCATTTGAGAGTATCATTTTAATATCTTGAATATAATTTTTCAGTCCCCCATCCATGTTAAAACAGAAGAAGAAAAATAAGAGATTGCATACCCTTTCCTTGCACTGGATATTGTCCCTGAGTATATGAGAAAGCACACTCGCAGCCCTGCAACAAGTCTGGAGTTCAAAACATTAGATTGATTGTTAACATGCAGCAAGTACCAACAAGTATATTTAATGCTCCATGAAGTGCAAGAAACATTGAGGAGCAGATGCAAATTTGATGAGACCATTTCAGGCATTTCTATTCTTATTTCTTTTTCAATAGATATTATGCAATACCAAAACACTGTATTACCTCAAGATCACCATCACTTTCACCCAAAGTAAGACCATGTAACAGCATGCTGTGGAAATATGCGAGATAACCCATAAAAAATTATCTGTTAGTGTGGCAGTGGAGTTTAATTAAGGCAATATAACTTGATACAACATATCCTGGTTCAAAATAAACTAAATAAAATGTGCACTAGTAAATGCACTAGAAATATACAAACCTTCCAAATGACATTCTCACATCCTCTTCAATGGGAGCATGAGTCATTGAATATGGTTGAGGTATTAATGTGGATGCTAACATTGTTTGACCATCAGAATTTCTCTGAAAAAAAA